CTACGAAGGTCCTTATGTGCTGGGTAAGAACAACTCTACGTACGATTCAGGAAGGTGTTCGCACGCGGTTATTAGCAATTTTGATATAGTTTACTTAAGTCTTGATAATTGTCACTGGGGTTTACGTTTGGCCGATCAAAGAAGGTAACATGGCTCATCTTACAGGTTTAGCCAATCACGATGCTGGCTTATTGGGGCTCATTGACCGTCACCTGTCACCAATTTTCGTCGTATTTTCTTATGAAATTAGTTTATTTCGAAGTTAAACTATGTTTTCTCAACGTCTACAGTCAGCATTGACATTGTAGCTGACAAATATGTTACATTTTTCTTTGCCGATTTAATTCTAAGAGATATTGCATGGCATTTGTTGTCCCTCGGAGGATTGAGACGCGATGCGCTGACAATTATTGTATACATTTACTTGAATTTACCCCAAGGACCACTACTCTCTGGTGGCCTCGACGAGGACAGAAAACCAGCGACTTGTTAAAGATACCGCCAATTGTCCTAATTATATTTTCTAGCTGGATTTTAAAGTTTAGCGGTTTTGGCCTTTACGGCGTCAGCGGGTAGGCGGCTCCACGGGTTTATAACCCTGTGGGTGGAAAAAAAAATCTATTTTCAGTCCCACTTATATGGCGAATCCTCTTCGCCATATGAGGTGACACTCCCGGGTGTGACTGTGGGGCGCTCTTACCATGACTGAACCACCGATGACTTACCATGACTGAACCACCGATGACTTACCATGACTGAACCACCGATGACTTACCATGACTGAACCACCGATGACTTACCATGACTGAACCACCGATGACTTACCATGACTGAACCACCGATGACTTACCATGACTGAACCACCGATGACTTACCATGACTGAACCACCGGCTCCCCATGACTGAGGGAGCCGGTCGGCCGAGCAGACAGCACGCTTTGCTTGTGATCCTGTGGTCCCGGGTTTGATCCCGGGCGCCGGCGAGAAACAATGGGCAGAGTTTTTTTCACCCTATGCCCCTGTTACCTAGCAGTAAAATAGGTACCTGGGTGTTAGTCAGCGGTCACGGGCTGCTTCCTGGGGGTGGAGGCCTGGTCGCGGACCGGGCCGCGTGGACACTAAAGCCCCGAAATCATTCCAAAATAACCTCTCAAGATAACCGTAAAATTAATTGATGAATTCACATAATACGAGAATTCCTTAATGGATCGACTTCATGTAGCTAACATGAAGGACTTATTCTTGATGGGATTCACCCACAGAAATGTTGTGTTTATTACTAAATTTTGATCCTCGGGTTTGTGTAGTAGAGACCAACTAGTTGTATACAGTTTACGTAAAGCTACGACTGGTCTACAGATGTCGTAGCTTGAGGCGGTCTTCTTAGGAAGATCGGTGATCTTAAATGCCTTCCTGAATCTCGATGTAGCCGCCACGACGATGGTAAGAACAAAAACTTTACTAAGTACTTGCATAACTGCTTTGTGAATCTGGCCCCAGGAACAGAGCCCAACCTCTTGCTGCTGCGAGATGCGAGGACGTTCTCTACCGACTGACAGCTGAGTGAACAGCGCTTCAGATTCCTAGTCCTGAGGTTCCGGGTTCGATACCCGGTGAAGGCGGAGACAAAAAGGCAAAAGGTTTCTTGCACCCTGATGCCCTGTTACCTAGCAATAAATAGGTACCTGGAAGTTAGACAGCTGCTACGGGCTGCTTCCTGGGGATGTGTAACAAAAAGGAGGCCTGGTCGAGGACCGGGCCGCGGGGACGCTAAGCCCCGAAATCATCTCAAGATAACCTAAAGATAAGAAGACTAGTCTGACTTTCTAGGTACAAAACTAAGAGCAAGAGAAGGAAAGAGACAAATAAAAGAAAAAGGTTATCACTCGGACCAGACATGAGGCCGCACTTCATAAACAGGATGAGTGACTGGTTCACGGAATACCAAATCCCAGAAGACATTGATACATTTGTTGACGACCTTAATCACCTAATTGAGAGCTGTCTAAGAGTTCTGCGCCGTACGCCTGGGCGAAGTAACCCTCAGCAAGAAAATAAAATGGTATGAGAACGATTACATAAAGATGCTTAACGCAAATGTAAGAGACATGAGTAGAGAGTACCGGAGACATCCCACTGAAAGTAGCCAAGAGTTGTTTAAAACTGTGTGTCAAGTAGCCAGGGAAGAGAAGATTAAAGAGCGGGAAAGACAATGGACTGAATTCAGTAGCTCTATTGGAAGGGAAACATCTGCAAGACAAGAGTGGGCAAAAAATCAGATAGCTAAGGGAGGCAGAACCCGGCCTGTGGCTCACAAAGAAGTAAGGGGCGCTCTGAAAAAGGGTAAAAGTACTGCACCTGGTGAAGATGGCGTCACCTACGACATACTCAATGCACTGTGTGAAGTGTCTGGGAATCCACTACTCCACCTGTTTAACAAATCATTCCTAAGTGGAGTGTTGCCCACACAATGGAAACACGCAATAATTGTTCACAATACCGAAGCCCAATGACCCTGGCAATTACAGACCTATCAGTCTCGTGTCATGCACTTGCAAGATGCTTGAAAGGATCATCCTAAACCGACTGTTGCACAAAATAGGCAGGTTAGGGGAGGGGATCAATGGATTTGTTAAAAAACGGAGCAAAGCAAATTGTATAGTTAATTACCTGGCTAATGACACGGCTAGGTACTCTGTATTTGTTGACATTAAAGGAGCCTTCGACAAAGCACAGGGGATTGCGATCCTGGACGAGCTTGCATGCATGGGTGTCAAGGGGAGACTCATGAAATGGGTTGAAGACTACCTCACAGGAAGGAAAGCCAAGGTTTGGTTCAATGGAGCAGTCTCCAGAACAATGAATATGGAACTCGGGACCCCCCAAGGCGGAGTCTTAAGCCCTACACTATTCAATGTACTTATGAACGCCATTGCAAATATTAATTTTCCGGAAGGAACACAACAAGTGGGATATGCAGATGATGTCCTAATACAAGCTCCCACCTTGGGAAAAATTGAACAGTCTATTGAACTCCTTGGAAGGAAATGTATTGAGCTCGGTTTCACTCTCTCCACGAACAAGACGAAGGCATACTCCCATCACAAGCGGAAAGCAAATGAACTGCAAATTAATAGTGTAACACTTGAATGGGTTGACCACTATCGGTACCTTGGCGTCACTGTCGGCTCTAACAAGGGGAAGAAAGGGAACCTCAATCAACTCATAGGAACATGCAAAATTCGACTCAGGGCACTGAAAGCTATGACCTGGAATGGACATGGAGCCTCTATTGCTGTGCTTAAAAGGATGTACACAGCCTATGTGCGCTCCGTCATAGACTATGCCGCACCACTTCTGTGCACCTACTCCCAAAGCGATATGAAAAGGCTTGAAAGCATTCAAAATGAAACCATGACAATCACTCTTGGAGATCCAAGAACTGCCAAAACGTCTAATCTACGAGAGGAGTTGTTCCTCCCCAGTGTTAAAAGCAGAATTAAGGAGCTGAATGCTAAACTTGCAATTAGGATAGCCAGAGATCCCCATTACAATGTTATTGCTAAGAAAAAACTGAGCTCTGTGCTACTTTCAGGGGGAAACAGGAGAAGCAAAAAATGGCATCACAGAGCAGTCTGCTACCTCGAAGAGCTTCACCTGCTTGAGCAAGCCCGTGAGCTCCTGCCTGTAGAGAGGTTACCTCCCTGGGAGGATGACTCATGCAAGATTATCATCAATGAAATGGCAATGAAAAAATCCAACATGTTACCACAAGAAATGAGGCACAAGTATCTCGAGGAAATTTATAAAGAAGCCGGAGATGAACTAGATCAAATCTACACTGACGGGTCATCTAATCCTGTCAATGGAAGGGCTGGTGCAGCATACACGGTAATCAAGGATAATACTTTCCAACGTAGCAATGCAGAAAAAGCGCGTATTGAGAACTATGCCTCTTCAACGCAAGCAGAGCTAACTGCCATTGATATGGCGCTAAGGCTTCTTGAACGGAACACTAATGGTGCATTGATTTGCACCGATTCAAAAGCAGCACTGCAAAGCCTAAGTCAAAATCAGGCAGAAAATCTTGCAATAGTCGCTGAAATTAGGAGAGCTGTGAGAGTACTTACCAATCAGGGAAGAGTCATCAAGTTTCTGTGGATCCCCCTCCCATGTTGGAATATGTGGGAATGAACGAGCAGATGTGCTGACTGCTGAAGGTGCTGAAGGAGACCATATTGAATACTTCATACCCAAGACTCTACTACAAATTAGAGGTATTGTCAGGCAACATCACCGTGACAAGGTAACTGAGGAAAGGAGGATATAAGCACAAACCAGTGAATCTGTACGATGGTACAACATGGTTGCAGCTGGCAATCCCAATCATTATGACCGAAGAGGAGGACGACGAGGGAGAGAATCAGTAATAGCAAGAATCCGTCTTGGATACAAATATCCATGGATATATGGAATGGAAACAACAGTTGATCAGCGAAGTTGCAGAATCTGCAGTGAGAGTGATGGACACCGCCTTGACCACTATCTACGTGAATATGAACACCTGAGAGATATTAGATGTGTAGAATAATAAACCCCACATTGTTTGAGTTAGGAAAGCACTATTCGTCAAATATTGATACTGTTCTTAAAAGATTTCCCCATTTTGCACCCGCAAGATAACGTTAGCTTTTAAGGGTTCATAGATCTTAATCTTCTTGTTTGAGGAGCTGTTCACTTGAGACAGTTAAGCAAGTCCCAGCTGTGTCTGGGTACTAGTGACAGGATGAACAACCCAGCGGGTTTTCTTCCTATTGGGGAGTGTTGTATATGCTGCTATGGCAGTATATAGCACCACTCACAAGATGAGTGGCGCTGCCCAACTCATCTCGCCCCTCGGGGCCAAATTTAAAAATAAATACAAAAATTTAAACAAAGAGTATAAAAAAACCTTTCGAGCTCTTCTTGTAGAGCTAAGGACACTGCGGAAGGTGGAGTCGGTTATTTATTTCTGCTGGAAAGCGGCTGGAAGCTGATGTAAGGCGGCTGGAAGCTGATGTAAGGCGGCTGGAAGCTGATGTAAGGCGGCTGGAAGCTGATGTAAGGCGGCTGGAAGCTGATGTAAGGCGGCTGGAAGCTGATGTAAGGCGGCTGGAAGCTGATGTAAGGCGGCTGGAAGCTGATGTAAGGCGGCTGGAAGCTGATGTAAGGCGGCTGGAAGCTGATGTAAGGCGGCTGGAAGCTGATGTAAGGCGGCTGGAAGCTGATGTAAGGCAGCTGGAAGCTGATGTAAGGCAGCTGGAAGCTGATGTAAGGCAGCTGGAGCTGCTGGAAGCAGCCGGAGCCTTGTCGATCCCTTCTCACAGTGTATTCAACACTCTGAAGCCACTGGAATCATCCGCAATAGCAGTAAAGAATTTTTATGGCGCCGTAATCTTTCTCAGGAAAGTTTATACCGAGAGGTGTATTTATAGAGACCATTTATCCATGTACGAGCACTGTGTGTATGTGCACTCGGTGCACCCACTTACAATAGCCCTGGACTATTTTAAGACTAAAGAATACTTGCTGATTGATCAGAAAGTTTTTAGTATTGACCTTAATAACCATCAGGAGGCTCGAAGACCGTATGCCCTACATCAGATCAAGTCAATTTTTATCCCTCCCCCCCCCTCTCTCTCTCTCTTTCTATATCTCTCTCTCCATCTATATCTCTCTATATCTATCTACATCTCTCTCTCATCATATATATATATATATATATATATATATATATATATATGTCGTACCTAGTAGCCAGAACGCACTTAGCCTACTATGCAAGGCCCGATTTGCCTAATAAGCCAAGTTTTCATGAATTAATTGTTTTTCGACTACCTAACCTAACCTAACTTTTTCGGCTACCTAACCTATAAAGATAGGTTAGGTTAGGTTAGGTTAGGTAGGGTTGGTTAGGTTCGGTCATATATCTACGTTAATTTTAACTCCAATAAAAAAAAATTGACCTCCTACATAATGAAATGGGTAGCTTTATCATTTCATAAGAAAAAAATTAGAGAAAATATATTAATTCAGGAAAACTTGGCTTATTAGGCAAATCGGGCCTTGCATAGTAGGCTGAGAAGTGCGTTCTGGCTACTAGGTACGACATATATATATATATATATATATATATATATATATATATATATATATATATATCATATATATATATATATATATAGATATATCATATATATATATATATATATATATATATATATATATATCTATATCTCTCTCTCTCTATATATATATCTCTCTATATATCTCTCTCTCTATATCTCTATCTATATCTCTATCTATATCTCTATATCTCTATCTCTATCTATATCTCTATCTATATCTCTCTCTCTATATCTATCTATATATCTATATCTATCTATATCTCTCTCTCTCTCTCTATCTATATCTCTCTCTCAATGTGTGTGTGTGTGTGTGTGTGTGTGTGTGTGTGTGTGTGTGTGTGTGTGTGTGTGTGTGTGTGTGTGTGTGTGTGTGTGCGCCTGAATATTAATGCACTTCAAGTCCTGTAATCACTGATAAACCGCAGATTGTAGAAGGCGGGAACCCGCATTTCCTTGTGCTGCCCAGGTACCCTTTGTTAATGCGAGAAGACATACATTCACCTGTCAAGCTTACATGAAAGGAATTAGAAGGAACTGCTGCTTGAAGGGCGACCCAACAAGCGCCCCAAACCCCGTCTTTATAAACGTAAGGAATCCACTCAGACAGATGTTTCAATTAGGACAGCAATAACGAGGCAGATTTTCAGGGCGTTCTTGTTAATGAAGATTTTATGAACTTTCATGAACTTTAAGTGAAGATATAACACGTAATTGGCTGATTAAGGTTTGTACCAAACTGTAATGTATTGTACGAAATATCCTGTTGATCCTGCCTTTTATCTCTCGTACTTCACATATCAGGATTTTCAGTATTTTTTAATTTAGTTGTTTAAATCGGCCACACAGTTTGCCGGTCGTTGCGGCTAGTGTTCGAGGCTTCCTATCATGTTACCTGACCGACATACTTTCATTACAGCACCGCTATTGGCACGCTACACTGACACAGGAGACTGATATACTGTACACGTAAACCACGCTGCTATGTCACAATAACACGTGGCTGACAATGACACATCTAACCCACATATGAGAAATGACGCCAGTGACGACACTTCGGCCCGTCCTGGACGCCAGTGACCACACTTCGGCCCGTCCCGGACGCCAGTGACGACACTTCGGCCCGTCCCGGACGCCAGTGACGACACTTCGGCCCGTCCCGGACGCCAGTGACGACACTTCGGCCCGTCCCGGACGCCAGTGACGACACTTCGGCCCGTCCCGGACGCCAGTGACGACACTTCGGCCCGTCCCGGACGCCAGTGACGACACTTCGGCCCGTCCCGGACGCCAGTGACGACACTTCCGCCCGTCCTGGACGCCAGTGACAACACTTCCGCCCGTCCTGGACGCCAGTGACCACACTTCGGCCCGTCCTGGACGCCAGTGACAACACTTCGGCCCGTCCTGGACGCCAGTGACAACACTTCGGCCCGTCCTGGACGCCAGTGACACTTCGGCCCGTCCTGGACGCCAGTGACAACACTTCGGCCCGTCCTGGACGCCAGTGACAACACTTCCGCCCGTCCTGGACGCCAGTGACGACACTTCGGCCCGTCCCGGACGCCAGTGACCACACTTCGGCCCGTCCCGGACGCCAGTGACCACACTTCGGCCCGTCCCGGACGCCAGTGACCACACTTCGGCCCGTCCCGGACGCCAGTGACCACACTTCGGCCCGTCCCGGACGCCAGTGACCACACTTCGGCCCGTCCCGGACGCCAGTGACCACACTTCGGCCCGTCCCGGACGCCAGTGACCACACTTCGGCCCGTCCCGGACGCCAGTGACCACACTTCGGCCCGTTTCTCTCTTTCTAACAGTCTCACTCTTAAATTCCCCCATGAACCAGTAAATCAAACCAAATGGCTCTTTTTCCCAACTTCTCTCAAAACTCCTTCAACGCTCCATTACCATATATTACCTACACCGAAGAACCACTCACGCCACAGAGACTGAAGATGAAGGCGCTTGCAAGTGAAGGATCCCACCAACTACAGGTCATCTCCTGTATACTGTGAGCAGGTTATGTTACCATTTAGCCGTTTCAGGCTCAAAGAGAATACCGGTTAGTACAAAGTTTTATAGCTATAAGTATTTTTTTTCCTTGTGTAATAGCAGGTAGGACGACTTCAGAAAGAGGAAATATGAGTATTAAAAAGGTCACAAATGAAAGTTGGTTGTAATTTATACGTGATTAATTTAGGCATTACAATAGTTTGAAGTGGACCGGAGAGGATTCGTCTGAACAGACGTGCGAGTCTACATAACGTCTTAACAAACTTATCTGGAGCGAGATTCATGAAGCAGTTAAGCAAGCACTTACGAAACTGTACATCTTTTCTTAATCTTTGGCGGCTTTGTTTACAATTATTAAACAGTTAATCAACTCCGAAGCACCGGGAGGCTGTTTATAACAATAACAACAGTTGACTGGATAGTTTCCATGCTTGCAAACTGTTTATTAAATGTAACTAAAGCCGTCAAATATTAAGGAAAGATGTACACATTCGTAAGTACTTGCGTAAATGCTTCGTGAATTTGGCCCCTGATCTCCAGAACAGCGATAATGTTAAGACGACTTTTGCGTTGGTCAGCTCGAATGAATCTGTAGAGAACAGCTACGTATATATAGTTTATTACACACATATTTACAGAGAATTACACTAACGTCATATATATATCAATAATAAAATCAAGTGGATCTCTGCATTTGATCTACGGGCTCACCATAGTCCGTGCTACTTGGAACTTTTTGTTCCAAGTAGCGAATCTTAAACAACAAACAACATGCATTTGATCTTGCCTTATCGAAGTAATATTCCTTACACACACAAATCACAATAACTTGATATATCAACTAAGGCACTTCTGGGAACACCCCGTGCGTAGGTTCGAACCCTCATCACGACCCTTGTGGATTTGTTAATATTCTTTAATAAATACAGAATGTGACAACAATTAATTATGCGCACCTGTGTTTGCGTCAGCAGACAGCGAGTCAGAGAAAAGTGACTTGAAAAATCAAAATTGTACAGAACGGACCGAAAAGTCGTCACTTCCGTTGTTTTCAGCTGTGTTGGGTGTCTACGTTTGTATAGTTTGGTTCAGTGGTTCATGGACAATATAAATGCTTTTTAATTTGGTCAATATGGAGGTCATGATCACATTCTTAGCGTCACATTACGGTAATCGTGCGAGGAAACTGAAGTCTTTCTCCGGGTGTTTGGCACTTGAGAGGTAGGCCTTAGATCACTAACGGGCTCACCATAGCCCGTGCTACAATGAAAAATTTAATCCCGAGTACCTAGATGTAAAACAACATCAACAACAACAGATCACACTTAACTGAAACGATAATAAGACTAAAGAAAAAAGGAATATTAACTACGCTGCAGTTATGAATTTATTAATTGGAGGACGTCTCCAGAGATGGTAAATGTTGATGATTCACAGTGCCAAGAACCAGACCCTAAGTCGGGGCCTTTTTATAGGGACGTGTCTCAAAGGCGTCAGTGGAACTCGCTATAACTCTTAGTGTCTAGGGGAGACATAGGCTGAGGCTGATGGCTTAACAAAGGAAATTTCAGGAGATTTGGAAAGTCCCGGAGGAAGCCTTGTTAGGTAAAGGTGAGAGTTGTGGGAAGGAAAAGGGAGGCAGGTAGGCTTTAAAGGAGAGAAAAAGGAGGCTGTGAAGCTGGAAGGGAGATAAAAAAGGGATAATAATTCTAGAAGAAAGAAAAAAGATAGGTAGGTGTTGGCTGGAATGGAGACGAAAGGGGAGGGAAAGAGAATGAAATGTAGAAAAAAAGAGCGGGAAAAAAGGGAGGTTGAAAAGGAAAGGGGGGTTAAAGAGAGGACAGGAGACAGAGAAAAAGAGTGAGAGGGAAACTACGGAACCACTTTCCTCTCCAGACATCATGTCTCACCCATACTCTCTCCTCTTCCACCAGTTACCACACAGACGACACGCTCTTGCCTCAGGAGACACCTCTACGACCCGTCCTCCACCCGGCATCTCACAACTGTATCCAAATCGTTAAAAAAAACTTAAATCACACCTTTATAAACTAAAGCACCGATGTATTGACGTTTTCTATGGCTCTGCCTCGACTGGTTAGGTGAGTGACTTATTAAACAGGAGAATTGTAAACCATTTGGGCTTACACAATAAGGAGGCACCCAGGTACCCACAGGACTCCAAAACCCTCAGTCAGAGACTGC